AATTATTGTTGTTGTTGTTGTTGTTGTTATACATTTTTAAACAGGACTGTGACATATTACAGAAAGCTGTTAAAATCAGCAATATAAAACTACCATAATTTTGGATGGTGATGTGGCACAGCAGCCAAGAGCTGTGATCCAAGAAGTTCTAGGTTCAAATCTCATCTCAGGCACAAATTCCCTGGGTAGCCTTGGAAATCTTCTGTCACTGAATCTCAGTTATTTATCTGGATTTTTAGGGAAAATAAACACTGCCCTGTATTACAGGTTGATTGAAAGATAGACTTGAAAAACTCAAATGAGTTGGAGGGCTGATGCCAGAGGGCAAAACGTGTCAGCAGAAAAGCCATAAGATTGTAGCCTTATTAGACTTTACTGACTGGTGGGGTCTGCGTTGCTCCCGGGAGGGAGGAAGGAAGTCAAATGACACCGAGGTTGATTCAGAGAAAGAGTTTATTCTGCTCTCCGGATAGCAGAAGGCACTTGCGTGGTCAGTCCAAAGCAAGTCCAAAGAAATGAGAGATTTCATGCAGTACATTGGTGCCCCGCAAGACGAATGCCTCGCAAGACGGAAAACTCGCTAGACGAAAGGGTTTTCCGGTTTTTGAGCTGCTTCGCAAGATGAATTTCCCTATGGGCTTGCTTCGCAAGACGAAAACGTCTTGCAAGTTTGTTTCCTTTTTCTTAACACCGTTAATACAGTTGCGACTTGACTTCGAGGAGCAACTCATAGAACGCAGTGTACATAGTAGCCTTTTTTGAAGTTTTTAAAGACTTTGGTGATTTTTGAAGCTTTTCCAAAACTTCTTTTGCAGCCATTTGGTAAGTTAAGCTTTTAAAACTTTTTTGGGGGGGTTTGGATTTTGGGTTGGGGTGTTTGGAATTCAAGGACTTGGTGTTGGGGAGGGGTTTGCAAGAATCTGGAAGCTTGTTTTTTTCTTCTGCATTTTTATGATTTTCTGTGACCATTGGGCCACTCTGCTGTTTTTTTAAAAAAAATCTGGATTTGAATTTCTGTGTGCTGGGTGGCTGGGGGAACAGTTGGGGAGGGGTTTGCAAGAGTCTGGAAGCTTGTGTGTGTTTTTCTGCATTTTTATGATTTTCTGTGACCATTGGGCCACTCTGCTGTTTTTTTTAAAAAAATCTGGATTTGAATTTCTCTGTGCTGGGTGGCTGGGGGAACAGTTGGGGAGGGGTTTGCAAGAATCTGGAAGCTTGTTTTTCCCCCCTGCATTTTTATGATTTTCTGTGACCATTGGGCAACTCTGCTGTTTTTTAAAAAAAATTCTGGGTTTTAATTTTGAAATGCTCTTTACAGTATGTGTGACTTTAAAGAGCACTTAATAAACTCTTGTTGTACCAAATTTGGCTTTGTTTGGACTTTTTTTGACCATAGGAACGCATTAATTGATTTTCAATGCATTCCTATGGGATTTCGTGCTTCGCAAGACGAAAAATTCGCTAGACGAAAAAATTCGCGGAACAAATTAATTTCGTCTTGCGAGGCACCACTGTATATATATCCTCCAGGCACCCTCTCCCCCCTTCCCCAGGAATCCAGCCACGTCAGCTTATACACGCAAGTTGACATCACAGATGTTCCTGCTCCTTACTCTTAACCATAAAAGGGTTTTCCTCTTCCTGTATTCTTGACCATAAAAGGGTTTCCTATTCCTGTTCCTATACTCTTATCTTGGAGCAAGAGGACACCAACTCCTGGTGCCGTTCCCGGACTAAGTCTGTGCATCAGAGTGTGGTCAGGATGTAAGATAAGATAGACAGAGTGCCATCCCTGCTCCACTGGAACAGCCAAGGCCATCCATTGCTGTCACGGACTGATAAAGGAGAGCGCTTTGAGCACTTGTTTATACAGCTGGGTTTTGGCTCAAGAGCTCAAGTTAGAGCATTTTAGAAATGCTCCCTTGGAGGAGGAAAAATGGGGATTTGGGGTCAATTTCAAACTGACTGCACAGAAACCCATTCCTTCAAGATTTCTTTTCATTTATTTTTTAAGAACACAGGGACCTGCCTTATGCCAAGGAAAACCAATTGTCCACCAGTGTACTGTCTACACTGACTGACAGCAGCTCTCCAGGGTCTCAGGTAGGGGTTTCCCCAGCAATACCTAGGGATGCAAGGAATTCAACCTGGAACTTTCTGTATGCAAAGCAGATGCTCTGCCACTAAGCTTGTTCCTGAGTTAATACATATCGAGGAGTATGATGGGGTGTCATGTGCCTTATTAGGAACTTCAAATGCCTGTCCCCTTATGAATTATGGAGATGATACATGAGCTATAGGAAATCAGTGGTATTCAGTGTTTCCTTTTCTCCTAGGAATGCATATGATTCACAGACAAGTTTCTTATCAAGGAATCTTTCGGGGGCAGATCTGCTTAGCTCCTGCAGCAGACCTATTTGTTGGTTCTCCTGATCATGATCTGGACTTCATAGAGTCATTCTGATTTCTCTCCCCATTCATCCATGCACAGCTCACACCCAACTTGTCATTTTCTGGGACTAGAATTGTGGCAACAGTCTCCACCAACCAACAAATCAGGGTAGCGGAAGAGAGTGACTATCTGCAAGTTAACAGTAGTGGATTCCTCCCACTCAACAGACCTGCTTTTTCCTTACCTTTTCTTAAGGTGAGAGAACAATGAATAATGCAAGCATATGCGTTCCTGCCACATAAGCTGAGAATACGATAATATTCCTAGCACACAAAAAAAGGTGACAGGTTAAATTGTATTACAGCCTAGTTTGGAGAAAAGGGGAGGGGAGAGAACAACAAAAACCTTACTAGGATTGAATTTGGCATATAAAGTTTCAATATATAAAATTCCAAGCACTGTGCCTACCTGTGTGTATTTAATATCAGCAGAAATTTCATAGGAAGAAGGGCAAATTTTTGACTAAATGAAACAGGTGAACCAGTCCATGTAACCATGTCTGCACTGACAGCAGCAGCTGTCCAGGGATTCCGGGGTAGATCTTTCCAGTGCAGCTACCTGAGATCCTTTCCTGTGATCCTCAACATACAAAGCATGTGCTCTGCACTTATCTACCATCTTCCGTTGCAACTGCAGAGGAGCAAGCATCAATAGCAGCTGTTCCAAGTCCCAATTGCTGTTTGTTCATGAGCTCACCCACTTTGGGTGAGTGAGTAGGCAGTGATGGCAAATAATGGAAAAGCTTTTTCCAGTCATTATCACTTTCACACGTGCAAACTCATGTGTCCATTCCATCTTGTTTCCACTTCAGTTTTTTAAAAAAATAATAATACATGAAAGTGTGTATTTAAATATGGACTTAAGAACACATTTTTTTCTAAGTACGCTTTTCTATGATGGATTTCATCTAAGAATACATATTTCCAAATGTAGTTTATCTCATATTAACATTCTGAAATGTCTCTCTCTCTCTCTCTCTCTCTCTCTCTCTCTGTGTGTGTGTGTGTGTGTGTGGTGTGTGGCACATATGCACACACATATACAGTGGTACCTTGGGTTAAGAATTTAATTCATTCTGGAGGTCTGTTCTTAACCTGAAACTGTTCTTAACCTGAGGTACCACTTTAGCTAATGGGGCCGCCACGTGATTTCTGTTCTCATCCTGAAGCAAAGTTCTTAACCCGAGGTACTGTTTCTGGATTAGTGGAGTCTGTAACCTGAAGTGTCTGTAACCCGAGGTACCACTGTATGTTTACCTGAGAACTGTGACACAACATTTGGAGACGTGTGAAAGCCAATGAATTCCATTAGTTTAAGAGGCTCAGGGGCTCAGTTCCATTTGTACTGGAATGCACAAAATTCCTCAGGCACACTTAAACTCAGCTCTTTTCTGACTGTAGTCTTGTCTTGACAGCAGATGATGTTAGCATCTGCCTTTGTGCCTGCTCAGGAAAACAACTGGCAGTAGTAACATGTGACAAACCCTACAGTTGGTATGGCACAGAGAAGGGGAAAGAGCACAGCCTTAGGGATGATCCACTTAGCTCTCTCTCTTTTTGGAATGGGCTTTAAAGAGAGGGGCTTGTTTAATTAACAATGCTTATTGTCTAGATAGTTGGTTTATTTATTTATTGCAGCAGTGGTGTGTGTGTGTGTGTGTGTGTGTGTGTGTGTGTGAACACTGGGCTAGCTTAAATACACAACTGTAAGCATGTGCCAAACCAGAGATATGTGAAACCCTCCTGAAAAGTCTTTGCTAGCTTTAACCAAGTTACTTCTGGGCTTTCCCAAAAACTCTTCCACCCCACTTTTGAGGAGTAACCTCTGAATCTGTTCTGAATTTTGCTCTATGGGCAGCTAGAAATGTGGCTGGGTGCGAGCATGTGCACACATGCAATTTTGCTCAGTAGGCTTTCTTGGAAATACTTCTGGGCACACTACCTTTCCTCCCTAAATGTTGCTTTGGATGAATTTCACTGGCAATTTGACTCCAAATCATACAGGAGGAACTTCCTATCAGAGACATGCCATATGTAAAGAACCCATCTCAACTCATTTGCTTGGCACCCAAGCATAGCTGGCAGGCACCGTGCCATTGCAACAGATGGGGACGAGCACAGGCATCCAGGAGATCATGTCTAAGCATCGTGTATGTTTGTATGAGGGCAGGATTTCAAGCCAGGAGAGCTGGAACAGCACTTTGTTCTGAGCCCTTGTATCTAATTTAAGAGGCTGTGTGATTCCTTTTAAAAATTCATGGTTGCATGAAGGGAAGTGGAGGTTTCTTCCATCCCCACTGATAGAATCCAAGCTGCGACAATGAATGCATTAAAATAAAATGTGCACTTGATACTCATATCTTACCCATGTAATAACCCCATTATTGTTAATAATATGTAATGCTTCATTTCCTGTAGGAGGAGAACCTATGGTTCTCTGACACTTCTTTGTTCTCCATGTAGAAGGTCTGAAATGAAGGCATTAGCAGGAAAAACATCTTAGTCTGCCGCCTAAGATGGCGAACCTAGCCATGTCTATTCATAAGTAAGTCGCAATGTATTCAATGAGGCTGGGTCAGTACGTCTGGCTGTTAACCAGAAGGTTGGTGGTTCAAGCCCACCAAGCGATGGCTGTGGGCAGGAATCCTGCATTGCAGTGGGTTGGACAAGATGACCCTCAGGATCACTTCAATTCTATGTTTCTAGGTTTGGATTGCAGCCTAAGAGTCCATTTGGAGCAGGGGAATATATAGTAAATACAGTGGTGCCCCGCAAGACGAATGCCTCGCAAGACGGAAAACCCGCTAGACGAAAGGGTTTTCCGTTTTTGAGTTGCTTCGCAGGACGAATTTCCCTATGGGCTTGCTTCGCAAGACGAAAATGTCTTGCGAGTCTTGAGATTTTTTTTTCGCTCCCCCCCTTTATCTAAGCCGCTAAGCCTTTAATAGCCTTTTAGCAGCTAATCCGCTAAGCCGATAAGCCTTTAATAGCCGCTAAACCGCTAATAGCGCTAATCCGTTAAGCCGCTAATAGGGTTGCTTTGCAAGACGAAAAAACCGCTAGACGAAGACACTCGCGGAACGGATTAATTTCGTCTTGCAAGGCACCACTGTATGAGGAACAAGACCATAGCTCAGTAGTACAGGATCTACTCTGAATGCAGAAGGATCCAGTTTCAATATCTGGCATCTCCAGGTACGGCTGAGATAGTGCCCTGTCTGAAACCCTGTACAGCCACTGCCAGTGTCAGGCTTCAGGGAATCTGAATCCTCGCCGCCGCCCCACCACCACCACTGCAGGTTGCTCTTACCAAGTCGTTCATTCAATATTCACAGAGAGAGGCTTAGAAATGCTGCCTCTAGGGGTAATGGTGTTGCTCCGAGTGCTCTTTGCTCTCCTATTTTCATGGCTCACCAGGTTCTGGGAGAAGGGGGTGGAGATCTGGAATGCTTTCTAATGATAACCTGTCAGCCAGCTGCTCCGGCTCTGCTCCCCCCCCTTCTTCCATCACCTCTCAGTTTTGCCCTTCTTCTAGCTCTGAGTTGTGACCTTCTGCAAACCACTGTTGTAAATCTATACTGTCTTCTTCTTCTCTGGAAGGTTCAGGAGGAGGAGGAGGAGGAGGAGGGCGAGGCAGTCTCTGTTAGAATTCCTGCTCCATGATTGCAGTCATGGAATTGTTGTCTTTCACATGACGGTATATGTTTTGACTCCACAAAGTGGGAAGTGATGGAGACAGGATGTTTGTGTTACTGTGTTCCGTGAAGTGGGACTATTGTCCCTTGTTCTTTTTCTCTTTGCTGTCTGATGCTAGAGAGAGAGGGAGCCATGTTGCAGTGCTTCGTGTGTGTTTATATGTAAATAAAGTAGATTAGCCAAAATGCTGATTTGCTGAGGCCTGTTACACAACTGCACAAACTCTGCGGATCCCTAAGTGTGCCAGTGTCAGTTGGCATCGGTCACTGTGATGTTCCGGCAGAAAAAAGCTTTTGAAGCTCCCGAACGAAAGACCAGGAGGGAGAGAACATGCCAGTCAGGCATGTGTCTCTGCCAGGGTCCTCCTCAAGTGTAGGCTGAACTCCTGACAGTCTCCACCAATCCTCCTCAGTCCAGTCCCCCTCAGTCCAATCAGTGTAGACAGTACTGAGCAAGATAGACCAATGTTCTGACATCAGTAATAGTAGTAGTAGTAGTACCCCACCCATCTGACTGGGTAGCCCCCACCACTCTGGGAGTTTCCTGCATTCCTATGTTGTACTGAGGAAGGACGCTCCCAGACTGTGATTCCATTCCCAAAGGACTGTTTTCTGCTTCTGTAAACCATGCACATATATTTATATTCCCTTGATATATATATTTTTAATGAAGGATTGGAAAAGAAAATTAAAACAAGTATACTGAGATACTGTCCTCTGGTGGGAAACAGTAATGAGAGTGCCTTTTCTGAGAAAAAACAGGACAACCTATGCATTTTCCATATTGCCATAGAGCTAGGGTACCAGAGTCTGTTAGTGAATGGTAGAAAGTAATAAACAGTAATATTTAGATAATATTTGGGATATGAAGAGGAAATACAAGCTGCAGAACTGTACCAGACAAAAAAATTATTGACTTAGCTTAGCAAACCAGCCTGGCTGGGCTGCTTAAATGCAGAGCCATTGAGGGAGTCTGGTACTGAGCCATTAAGGGCAAATGGCAATGCAAAAAATAAATAATCTTCCTTTCTCCCCTGTTCCAAGAAGCAGACATAGGCAGGAGATTTGGGAGGTTGTCAAGGTGATGGTGGGGGTCTGTGTGATGGCACAGAAAAATGGGTCATTTGGGGGATCTAAAGGTGTTCAGGGAACAAGAAGGAGGAAACCCATCTGGCACTGGCTGGAGGAGGCTGCACCAAGAGACTGGGTGCCCCGACTGACTGCTGCTTTGGACCCAAGCTTGCTGAAGCTATGAGGAGGCAATGAGAGGTATAATGTTCTGCACCATTCTGAAGAATTTGGAGCAAATGATTCAGCAGAGGAAACACAGCCCAGAATAGCTAAGGAGATAGTACAAGAATACTTGGCTAGTTTATATGTATTCAAGTCTCCAGGGCCAGATGAACTGCATCCAAGAGTATTAAAAGAACTGGCAGATGTGATCTCAGAACCACTGGCAGTCATCTTTGAGAATTCCTGGAGAACAGGCGAAGTCCCGGCAGACTGGAGGAGGGCAAATGTTGTCCCTATTTTCAAAAAGGGGAAAGAGAGGACCCAAATAATTACCGCCCAGTCAGTCTGACATCAATACCAGGGAAGATTCTGGAGCAGATCATTAAGCAAACAGTCTGTGAGCACCTAGAAAGGAATGCTGTGATCACCAATAGTCAGCATGGATTTCTGAAAAATAAGTCATGTCAGACTAACCTGATCTCGTTTTTTGACAGAATTACAAGCCTGGTAGATGAAGGGAACGCAGTGGATGTAGCCTACCTTGATTTCAGCAAGGCATTTGATATTCTTATAAAGAAGCTGGTAAAATGCGGTCTTGACTATGCTACCACTCAGTGGATTTGTAACTGGCTGACTGACCGAACCCAAAGGGTGCTCATCAATGGTTCCTCTTCATCCTGGAGAAGAGTGACTAGTGGGGTGCCACAGGGTTCTGTCTTGGGCCCGGTCTTATTCAACATCTTTATCAATGACTTGGATGATGGACTCAATGGCATCCTGATCAAATTTGCAGATGACACCAAACTGGGAGGGGTGGCTAACACCCCAGAGGACAGGATCACACTTCAAAACGACCTTGACAGATTAGAGAACTGGGCCAAAACAAACAAGATGAATTTTAACAGGGAGAAATGTAAAGTATTGCACTTGGGCAAAAAAAATGAGAGGCACAAATACAAGATGGGTGACACCTGGCTTGAGAGCAGTACATGTGAAAAGGATCTAGGAGTCTTGGTTGACCACAAACTTGACATGAGCCAACAGTGTGACGCGGCAGCTATCTATGCCAATGCAATTCTGGGCTGCATCAATAGGAGTATAGCATCTAGATCAAGGGAAGTAATAGTGCCACTGTATTCTGCGCTGGTCAGACCTCACCTGGAGTACTGTGTCCAGTTCTGGGCACCACAGTTCAAGAAGGACACTGACAAACTGGAACATGTCCAGAGGAGGGCAGCCAAAATGGTCAAAGGCCTGAAAACGATGCCTTATGAGGAACGGCTAAGGGAGCTGGGCATGTTTAGCCTGGAGAAGAGGAGGTTAAGAGGTGATATGATAGCCATGTTCAAATATATAAAAGGATGTCACATAGAGGAGGGAGAAAGGTTGTTTTCTGCTGCTCCAGGGAAGCAGACACGGAGCAATGGATCCAAACTACAAGAAAGAAGATTCCACCTAAACATTAGGAAGAACTTCCTGACAGTAAGAGCTGTTCGACAGTGGAATTTGCTGCCAGGGAGTGTGGTGGAGTTTCCTTCTTTGGAGGTCTTTAAGCAGAGGCTTGACAACCATATGTCAGGAGTGCTCTGATGGTGTTTCCTGCTTGGCAGGGGGTTGGACTCGATGACCCTTGTGGTCTCTTCCAACTCTATGATTCTATGATTCTATGATCTCCATTGAAGACTTTAAGTGTAAATATGTATAAAATAAACCATGTTTCCTAAAGACGCTAACCTCCACTATGCCTCACTTTTCCCAATGGAAACATAACTTGAGGTGAGCGACTGGAACCCCTTGGAATCTTGCTACCGCTTGGCAGAGATTGGGGGTGGCATGCAACCTGCATTGCAATACAATGTCGCCTGCTATCAAGTTTTGTAAAATACCATACAATTACTTGGAAATTTGTTTGTTTGTTTGTTTGTTTGTTTGTTTGTTTATGTATGTGGCCAGAAGTTGCCATCCTTCTTTTGGATGTTACATCTTGAAAGACATAAGATGACTTACAACCCAAGTGCTTTAAAAATGTCACCTTTGATTTTCAGAAATACATTATGAGACTCCCATGAAAAGGAAGGAGAATATCTTCACTAAGGAGTATTTTTAAACCATTATTATTTTATGACCTGCCTTTTGAAGCAAAGGCTAGGGTTGACTTCAAGGTTCCAGCGGAGCGAATAAATAGTAATAATTCTAATACTAATAATTGCAATTGTATTGAATTTATTTTTGATTACACATTCATTTTAAAGATGTATATGCCTCCTCTTGATTTGTCATCTCATTAAAATACAATGAAATTATAGAACAAGAAACAAGAATCAACAGCAGAATCAAAACAACCAATGTATCCAGCGGTATCCCTTGTGGAAAAACAAAAAGACACATTGATCCAGCAAAGGCTTCTATCAATGGAACAGGAAGAGAAGGGACTTTTGCTTAGTCTCCCCCGCCCTGCAGCCCCCTGAAACTCACAATCTGTTTAAGAAGGATGGGAAATCCTTCAAAATAGTGAGGGAAATAGCAGGAGATGCTAAGGGGGTGAAGGAGGGAGTAGACTCCCTCCCAGTTCAGCAAATGGAAGCCTCCAGTGGATTAAACAGCCTTTCATCGGAAGTGAAATCGGTAATGATACACTGGGCAAAAGACTTTGGATATAATATACAGCTTAAAGAATGGGAAAGGTTGTGGAATGAAAGGAT